ATGCCCAACAAGGCTGAAACAATCATCTGGGGTTGCTGTGTCTCTAGTGCAGAGGGAACTTGCTGGCATTTCTGATCTGGACTGCCTTTATGGGTGGGACCAGTTTGATATGCTTCAGATATAATGGCACAAGATGAGCTAAAACCAGCTGGAGTTCTGAGCGAGGACCCACCGAAGGGCAAGCTATTTCAGTTGAATACTCTTGCAACCTGTTTTTTGCTCTTACAGGGTAGTGCACTAACTTGGCCACCATCAGACGGATACAGGAAATACCCACTGGGCTATATTATAAAATGTGTATATAAAAAGTGGAAGTAAGACCATTCTTGCATTCAATTTGCTTCCCTATGAGGATTTAACTGATGCTGGGATATCCTCATGCAGAGCTTGAAAGTCACCTAGCAAGCAGGAAGTACCTCTAGTGGCTGTCTGATTGACAGCCACTATAGACAGTCTTAGTCCTGCAAAGTATTTGCTGCAAGTTCTCAAAAACTGCAATGATTTAAATTGCAGGGCTAAGGGGACAGGGACATTGCACCCAGACCACTTCAATGAGCTGAAGTGGCCTGGGTGCCTATAGTGTCCCTTTAATGTTGTGGCTGATCAGTGTATAATTCTAAACTCTCCATCTGCTGTATTAACCTTAATCCATACTGTATGAACCCACTACATTAAAACCCAGCACCAATAGCAATACCCACTGTATAATTAAAGGAAATGAAAAAAAAAAAAAATTATATCCTTTCCCCCCCTTCAACAGTAAACCTAGTGTCACTAAATGGTTTCACCCCGAAAGAGTGTAAAAATGAGCTTTTGGACGCACATGTTTTAACCCCATTAAGGACCAAACTTCTGGAATAAAAGGGAATCATGACATGTCACACATGTCATGTGTCCTTAAGGGGTTAATCTTTACTTTGATCAGATTCTCTGCCCCTCCTCTGATTTAATGTCATTGCATTACAGGGGGAAGGGAGAGGAGCATTGATAGGCCATTTTTTTCAGAGACTGGGAATCAGGAACATGTTGAAATGTGAGAGAGGGGTTGGCTAAGGAGGCTGGGTTACACTGCTGAAAACAGCAAAACATTTTACAGCATTGCAGGAAAACTACACACAATTGAAAGAATAGAAACTAACCAGATGTATTTTAAACTTATTAGCTTTAATTTTAGCTTACCTTGTTTGGCTGCCTGGAGTGTCCCTTTAAAGTGGCACTGTAATGCGAATCCTGTTTTTTTTTTTTTAACCCCCCCCTCCCGCCTCCACTACATCCAATTGACCCCCTAGTCACCCCCAAATGCCCCTAGGCCCCCCACATTACCTATTTGTTTATCTTTATTTTCTGCCCCGTTCTTTATTCAGGGCGCCGCCATCTTTGTGTGGGTAGATGAAGTCCCTGTGGGACACGTCATCTGCCCACACTAGATAGCGCTGAGATTCCCGCACATGCCCAGTGAAACACCTGGACATGCGAACGGGAATTTCATCTATTCATTCATTCATCAGACAGACGAATGAATGAATAGAAATGTCAGACGAACAAACTAACACTGTATGATGGAAAGGAAACTGGAACTCTCTAATTCAAGTTGGCAGAACCTTTTGTCAGAGGTTTAGGAGAATGAAGCATAAATTGAATGATTGTATAGAATGTGCAGAGCAATGTTATACTGTGTGCCATATTCTTCACATAATGTTGCATTTAATTTGTTTTATTTTACAAATAAAATATGTAAATTTTTCCACAGAAAAGCTGTTTTTTTTGTTATAATACGCTTTATTATGTACTTTATCTATAAAACTAACTTCACTGACTAAACAGTTTGTAAATGATGTTCCATGGGAAAAGGTGTAGATTCCTATTACAATATAAAACGTTGCATTTCTTTAAAAAAAAATGTAAACATATAATGTTTAACATAGGAGTTTATTTTCTAAAAAAATTAGTTTAAAAAAAACTAATTAAAAAATTTAGGGCAAAAATGCCAAGGCAGAAATAAATCTCTATCTCTGTTGCAATAAGTTGTCAATTCACCATTTAGTGAATAGAACCCTAACCATTTTGCAGTACTGCAGATGACCAGAGAGGGCACCTAACACAAGAAAAGTGTCTGATCCACAACTGGTTGCATGTATGCACAGCTCTCAAGTGTCCCTATTTAGGAGGAACAGTCCCTATTTTGGGCCCAAATCCCTCTATCCTAAAGTCCATCTTTTCTAGTAGCTCCATAATGTTGGTGTATCTAAGTGTTTAAAAGAGCTCCACAACAATAATACTTACAGTAATGTATCTCTAACCCCTTAACGCCATTGGACGTAGTATGCCGCCCTGCAAAATGTGGGCTTTAACGTTGCAAGGCAGCATCGTACTCCCTACGGATCGCCGGCCTCTTCCCGATTATACCTCACCCTCCGTGGCGATACAGATCAGGGGGACTGCCTGACAAACCAGCAAATCTGACCCTTGTAGGCCATGTGATCGCAGTGGCATCACGATCACACAACCGGATCGGCGGTAAGCTGAACTGCCTGCAGGGGAAATGCCTGTGTTGTCAGGAAGATTCTCAAGCTAAAAAAGTTAAAAAAAAAATATTATTAAAAAGAAAAAAAAGTAACATCATATATAAGCTTAGATCATATATAAACTCTTTGTACATGTGTGATATTTGAAGGTATGTGTATGTTTCGCAACTGAAGAAAAAACACTGGGTATATGGGACTGTCAAAGGCTTACAGAATCTGTGCTATGGCTGCTCTGTGCTTACTTGGCAGCTCCACTTATCTCATCTGATGATTGGAACTGCTGAAGAAGACTGAAATATATAACCCATTCCAGACATATTCAGACAGACACTTTTCAGATACAGTAAAATATAGTGTCAAACACACTATTATTTAAATAAACACTGATTGAGTCCCATCCTATTTGCTTACCCCTGCAGTGGTGCCAGAGAACCTAGCACTTTCTGACTCACATCTTTGTCTCTTCCTTCGCAGTATGTGAGGGTTCTTTAATATAGAGGAGGCTGACATATGACATCACAGATCCAAGCACCCTCCATCCTAACGCTCTGGGCAGAGAGGAGCAGAGACTGAGAACCGAGCTGGAAAGCACTCACTGCTCAGGCGCAGACTAGATCACCTGGTTTCCGCAGCAGCTTTGAGCATTAAGTCACTGCCAGACACTGGAGCACTTATCTTAGTAGCTGTGTGCCCCTGGTTTGGCAGAACTGATCCATCCTGCCACACTTACAGAGTTAGTCAGTAAAGTGAGAAAAGTGTCAAAGTTAATTTCAAATTTATGGCCAAAATAGATAAACTGAAAAAAAAAAAATTTAAAAAATATCTCTATTTGAGCTGTTTTGGTCTAAAATTTCAAACTCACTTTGAATTTCTAACAATTCTTATTTCAGTAAATAACCCTGTAACAAATTAAAGGGACACTATAGTCACCAGAACCACTTCAGCTTAATGTAGTTGTTCTGGTATGTATAGCATGTCCCTGCAGGCTTTTCAATGTAAACGCTGCCTTTACAGAGAAAAGGCAGTATTTACATTGCTGCCTAGTAACACCTCTAGTGGCAGTCACTCCACTAGAGGTGCTTCCCAGTCCAGTGCTGCACAGTGTGATTCAAAGCATCTCTATGATGATCTCAGCCATGGAGACGGAGCAAGCCGCGGTGAGACCAGCGATGCAAGGGATACCTAGGACCTAAATAGTTATAATATATAATGTTTGTATTCCTGACACTATAGTGTTCCTTTTAAGCTGGATATCGTGCATATCATCAAAATGGCACATATGATCTAGTAGGGAAATCTATTGACACCCTGTAAAATAGCACAGGTTGCTCGACACTAAGGCCAGCTCTGCAATTTAGTACTTTATTGCCCTGTCATATCCCCATGTCTATGTGCCCACAATGTGCAGCACTGACGCTCTGCATGGAGGCACTAAAATGTTCCTCATAGAGATGCATTGATTCAGCCTCAACCGCACCTGCGTGGTCCCCGGAAGTAAAGTAGCAAGGGGGACTGGGGACCAGGGGACTAAATTATATTTTAACCTATAGTGTCGGGAAAACACATTTGTATTCCTCATACTGTAGTGTTCCTTTAATGAATTGTCATAAATAACTGGTTATATGATGCTAGATATGTATTTGTTCCTATTTTACACACATATTAATACAATTTGAACTTAATTATATCATATATATTAACATACTGCCCATGTGTCCCTATTTAGGAGGGACAGTCCCTATTTTGGTCCCAAATTCCTCTGTTTCTATCCTAAGTTCCCTCTTGTCTAGGAGCTCCATATTGTTGGTGTGTCTGAGTGCATACCAGAGCTCCACAGCAGTAATACTCACAGTAATGCTAAAGCAAAGGCTTTAAAACTACAGTACATGTTGGGAGGTATGTTTTAAGATGATAGCAGTGGAGTCCATGATTTTGTATGAATTGTTTTCTACCAATAAAGTTGTGTGCATTCCTGAGGTTATTGGCATTTGTTACTGTCACTTCCTGTGCTGCCTTCAGAATTGTTTGTTGCTGAATCTTCCAGCAGAGCAGAAAGTGACAGAAAGGAGGAAATGCCTTTCAGTCTCACCTTTCTAGGTCACAGATAATCAGTGTTCACCTAAAACAATATTGGTTCACAGACAGGGGCAGATTGGCAAGGGGGGCAGTTTCCCCCCAGCCACTTGCATGCAGGATTTATAGGCTGCAGCCTTACACCATTCTTCTACAGAAATCATCCTTTGTAAATAAGATACATTGTTCTTGTTCTGTATTGCATTTTAGTTGCAGAAATTGTTATTAGTAAGACACCTAACTTTCCTGGAGCCGCTGCTTGCAAAGGTGTCATAGAATCAAGTCACTGTGTTCATTGAACTAATATGAAAACCAAATGTGATTGTATGTAACTTTGTAAACTTTGTGTCAGAGCAATAAAGTTATTGTATTCTGGGCCCGCGTCATCTTTTCTCTGCTGAGGTCACTTCCCGTGCTGCTGTCAACAGTGTCGATGTCAAAACACTTCTTCGAGGAATCCTCCAACAGAGCACAGAATGACAGAGCAATGAGGAAATTCCATTCAAATAGTGTTCACTGGTTGCCCGGTAACCATAACGTGCAGCCAAGAACAATGAGTGGTTACAGCCACTGCTCCAGTATATATAGCAGAGCAGCATGCAAGACACAAACAAAGCTACAGACAAACACTACAAGAAGATCTGCAGAGACAGAACCCAGAGAGAACATCCACTACAGCAATGGGTATCCTCCTGAGCAGTCTCCATCAAGCTCTTATGAATTTAAGTGGAACCAAGGCTCGTATCCTCATGTTGGGTCTCGATGCAGCTGGGAAGACCACAGTTCTGTACAAGCTGAAATTCAATGAAACTGTCTCCACTATCCCCACAATTGGATTCAATGTGGAAACGGTTGAACCCATTCGTAACGTGTCCTTCACTGTCTGGGATGTTGGTGCCCAAGAAAAGATCAGAGCCCTGTGGAAGCATTACTTTCAGAACACAGATGGACTGATCTTTGTAGTAGACAGTGCTGACTGGGAGAGGTTTGATGAGGCAAAGAGTGAGCTTGAAGCCATTCTTGAACATGATGAAATGAGAGGGGTCCCATTTTTGGTGATGGCCAATAAGCAGGACCTTCCAGGTTCCAGGAGACCATCGGATGTAGCCGAGGCTCTGGGACTGATGAAAATACAAGGTCACAAGTGGCATGTCCAGGGATGCTGTGCAGCAACAGGGGATGGATTGGTGGAGGGGCTGGAGATCCTGACCAACATGGTGAAAGAATTCCAGAAGAAGAAGCCATATTGAGCTGGTGGAAGAGCAGCTAAAGAGCATCTTATCTCACTTGAGTACATGCTTGTTGCAAAACTCAGCTCTGCATCTTGGCAAACAGCACAAGATATGATTAAATGCACGTAATTGACATGTTGGGTTTAGTGGCAATTAAATAAGTGCAAAAACAAAGATTGACTTTTCAGCTCGCACTGACTTTTCTAACTGCTGAAGAACTACAGTGAAAGGTGATGGAAGGGGAACTGGAACTCTCCAATTTATGGTCCACCTGTGGACAAACTTTCAAACAGATTGTTGGCAGAACCTTTTGCCAAAGGCTTAGGAGAATGAAGCATAAATTGAATGATTCTCTAGAATGTGCATAGCAATGTTATACTGTCTGCAAATAATGTTGCATTCAATTGTATTGTTAATTTTACAAATAAAATCTGTTTATTTTTCCACAAAAAAAAATTGTTTAGTTTAGTGTTCATTTTGTTACAGTCTATATAACTAAGATGTAAGTAAATACCTGTCTGTAAATGAAAAATACTTGGTAATATCTATTCACTAAACAGTTGGTAAATGTTGTTCCATGGGGAAAAAAAGGTGTAGATTCTTATTAAAATATAAAAAGTTGCATTTTTCCTAACAATTTTTTAAACCTATATTCTTCATGTCTATAAATGTTTACCATAGGAGTCTATTATCTAAGCAATGAGTTAAAAACCAAACTGAAAAATTCAGAGCAAAACTGCTTAAGTAGAAAGAAATAGTTATCACTGTTGCAAAACGTTGGTTGTGAATTTACTGAATAGAATAGAAAGTGAATTTAGTTAATAGACCCTTATCTCATTTGTAGTACTGCAGATGGCCAGAGAGGGCACCTCGCACAAAAAAAAAAAAAAGAGTTGTTAGAAAGTGTGATTTTCCTCTTAACCTTTAGTAGTCTGATCCACAACTGCTTGCATGCATACACAGCTCTCAAGTGTCCCTATTTAAGAGGTACAGTCACCATATTATGCATGAATCCCTAAAGTCCCTCTTTTCTAAGAGCTCCATATTGCTGGTGTGTCTGAGTGTATAACAGAGCTCCACAGCAATGATACTCACAGTAATGCATCTTTAAACTACAATAAGTGTTTAGAACTTAGTCTGTGTAAATAATTGTTCTTATTCTAAATTACACTTTAATTCCATAAATTATAAGTTGGTCACTTAAAAATATTCAGAACAGCCCCGCCCCTGGCTTCACACCCCACTGACACCACTTAAAGTGTCCTTTCTACATTTGGAATCTTTGGAGGTATGTGCTTGGCTCGAAACTCATGGAAAACACTAGGTATATGGGACTCTCAGAGGCTCATAGAAGCTGTGCTATGGTTGCTCTCAGATTACTTGGCAGCTCCACCCGTCTTATCTGATTGGAATTGCTGAAGAAGGCTGAAATACATAAAGCCCTTCTAGACACATTCATACAATCTCACAGACACTGTTCAGATACAGTAAAAGACACAGTGTCAGACACGCACTATGATTTAAGTAAACACTGATTGAGTACCATCCTATTTGCTTACCTCTGCAGTGGTGGCAGAGAACATAGCACTTTCTGATTCACTTCTGTTTGTTTCTTCCTTCGCAGTATGTGAGGGTCCTTTAAGATAGAGGAGGCTGATATATAACATCACATATGGTAGCATCCTCCATCCTGAAGCTCAATGTAGTGGAAGGGGGCAGAGACACATAGAACCTTGCTGGAACTCACTGCTCAAGCTGACTCTCCGAGCAGAGAGAGACTGGATCACCTGATCGCCGCAACAGCTGTGTGCTGCAGGTTCGACAGATCTCAGCCAGGCTTTCACACTTATATAGTTATTTGCTAAAATAAGGATTGTATTGAACTCAAAGTGAATTTCAAATTTAAGGCCAAAATCTCTATTTGGGATCTTTTGGTCTAAAATGAGAAATTCACTTTGAATTCCTGACAATTCTCATTTCAGAGGAAAAACCCTGTAAGAAATTAAAGGGACACTATAGTCACAGGACCCCTATAGCTTAATGCAGTGGTTCTGGTGTCTATAGCCTGTCCCTGCATGCTTTTCAGTGTAAATGCTGCCGTGATTACATTGCTGCCTTATAACACCTTGATGGACAATAATGGAAAATTTATTCATACTTATCGTAATTTTCTTTTCCTGGCTATTATTCATGGCAGCATATACACATGGGTTAGCTCCTCCCCTTACAGCCAATAGGACAGGAAAACCACCAAGGTTTTAAAAGGAGGCTCCATCCCTAAGGTCCTCAGTCAGTTTACAAGCACTACAGTACATAAATAGAGACATTAATGAGTGGGAAGTATATGCTGCCATGAATAATAGCCAGGAAAAGAAAATTACGGTAAGTATGAATACATTTTCCATTTTCCTGGCTAATCATGGCAGCATTTAACATATGGGGAATACCCAAGCTTACAAAGGGAGGGACAGAATAGCCAATCAAATAATCAGAATAATTCAACATAGATAGAAGAATGAACTGAGTTAAGTACTTGAGTACCAAATTGTGCATCATAGACTATTTTAACAAACAGTATGAAATGCCAGACAAACGTGTCTAAAGAGGTTCAAATGATAGCTTACAAAAAGTGTCAGCAGAAACCATTGCCTTGGAAACCCACGATGCTGCAACAGCATGAGAAGAGAGTGTCCTGATACCCTCCAGCACAGGTAGAGAACGGACGTGACGTCCAAATTGTGCCTCATTAATTGCTTCAATGTCCGTAAATAAAGGGAGCAAATTGCTCACGTCCTAAGGGCTGTAGGACAGGAAAAAGACTGAGGACCTTAGGGATGGAGCCTCCTTTTAAAACCTTGGTGGTTTTCTTGTCCTATCGGCTGTAAGGGGAGGAGCTAACCCATGTGTATATGCTGCCATGATTAGCCTGGAAAAATAGTTTTACCTATGCAATGCTTAGTGAATATTCCCCTAGACATACAGAGCTGTAAAGAAATATATACATAACCTATTAGTGTATTGCATAACGAGACGTGAATTTAGTAACATATATTATCCTGTATCTACAAATACCTGGACAGGTCTTCCTCGATGGTTTGTTGGTGGGAAGGGGGACGAGGGAATAGAAGTGAAGCTATTAATTAAAGTCCCACAGGTGTAATTAGTACATTTGGATATACCTTGCCTTACTCTCACCTGTAGTACCAGAGAAAAGGGGGACTTGTCATAGATACAGGTAAATAAAGGGTTAAAATGCCTTTGCCTTAGTTAAGTCTTTCCACGTCTGCAAGGGTTAAAAGCAAGAATTTTTGTACATTTCCTCCACCTTGATGACCCAGTGCTGGAAGGATGGCTCCCAACTGTTTCCACTGCAGTGGAATCGGGGACTTTGCGGCATTCAGTAGGTATTTGGTGAGGGTTTTTTTGAACCTAGCTATGGGGGAGTTTGTGTGATGTAGAAACATTGGAAGCGTCAGGAATGGTAAGTCAGAATCTGTGATCTCTTTTATTTCAGTGTGTATCATTCTCTAGAAAGGTGCGAAGTCAGGGCAGGACTACTAGATGTGCAGCCCAGTCCAATCGCTGGATATCTCTGGATTCATTCGGTTCAGCACATCTGGGGTCCTATACCAGTTTGTCAGGAGTTTTTAGCTTATCTCCTGAAACTTGTGGGTTAGGATGAATATCTTGTACTACTCCTGGTCTGTCAGTGTCACCCCGGTCTCCTTCCCCCATGTTGTCACAAACCTTCCGTAAGTGGCGATCTATTCACACTCACCAGCAGCATGTTGTAGCATACAGAAATCCTCCAGTTGATGTGCTCCCTAGATGAAAAGACTGATTCAAACTGTGTCAGGTCTCTATGGAATAAGGGTCTGCCTTTAGCCGAATTATAGAAAGTCTGTATCTGCAGGTAACGGAACTGGTCCAGACCTTTAAAGGGACACTGTAGTCACTATAACCACTTTGTCTCTTTGAATTGGTTATAGTGCCTGGAGTGCCCTGACACTGTCCCTCCATTCAGTGTTGCACCATGTTTGTGCAGTATGCCACAAATTAAGAGTCCCTGGCCACCCACAGTCCGGCCCTTTCTGTATGTGTAGCTAAGGCAGAGATTACACACTTCCTTGTTGTCATACCCATTCATACCGTCAGTTGGAGCTCTGACAGGTTAAAAGCAGTCAGCTGACACTCTCAGCCAATCACAGCTGCCCATTGCTGCTCAGGGTAATACTTCCTTATTAGCCAAAGCAGCACAGAGGGGATGGACTGCCGGGGTCTCTTGTTTAGCATTAAAACATTACAACATTAAAAACTGTTTAATGCTGAAAGAAATGATGGCACCAGGGGACTCCATACACTATAACCAGTTTAATGAGATGAAGCAGATACAGTGCCTACGGTGTCCCTTTAAGGGTGCGCTCATGGAGCACATGCACCAATGGTTTGAGTCGTCTGGCCTTGCACCATTGCTTTATGCACGAACAGTCTGTCACTTGAAAGCTCTTCAGGTCCATCAGCGTCTGCCCCTGTCAGATCCGGATTGTATGTGATGGGTGACTCTATAATGTTCATTTAATATCATTTTGAACAGGGGAATCTTTTGACCACAATAATAATAATAATAATATACACACATATTATATGTATATGTGTGTGTGTGTGTGTGTATATATATATATATATATATATATATAAAAAAGCACTGCGTGTATAGGAGCTGTAGTGTATATGGGTGTAGTGTATGTGTAAATGGCATGGGAAAATCAGGCTCCCTCAAACTGAGCACAGCCATCTCAGATTGGCATTGCCACTTTTTTTGCACCGGACAGACAGCCTTAAATACCAGTTCTGTAAAATATGAGCCAGGTTGCAACCAAAGCATTGTTACATTGCAGACCCCTATTCTAAAATGGTATGACTATTTACAAAGGGGTGGTGCAGGGCACACCTTATGGTTATGGTGTTTATAATTTAATTGTATGGTCTTGCCAGAAATAACTGTTTACATCATGGGTCGTCAACCTGGTCCCTACCGCCCACTAGTGGGCGTTTCAGGATTCCAGGTTGGCGGTAGAGATTTTCTAATTTTGAGAGACCGGGCGGGTTCGAGCCGGCGGTACCCCTGCGACCGGGTACCGCCATCACCATTTGCGGCACCGACCCGCGCGGCACACCGCTGGGGCCGCATATGGAGGGTTCCATCGGGTGGCCCATGCTGTCAGGGCCACCCGATGGATGTGGATTGTGAGGGGGCCCGGTCAGCGCTGGGCGCTTTAACCGCGAGACCGGGCCCCCTGTAATTACATCGCACAGAGCTGGCAGGAAGTGATTGCACGTCACTCCTCCCAGCTAACACTGAGAGCCGCGCGGGAGGAAGACCAGGGAGTCAGAGTGGGAACTCTGACTCCCATCCACCTGAGCCACCACTGGACCCCAGGGAAAGTCACCCTCCTGCACCTAAAAGGTAGGAAACAGGAGGGTGACTAAAATATTTTGTGTGTGTTTGTTTGTGTATGTGTCTTTGTATGTATGTGTGTAGTATGTATGTGTGTCTTGTGTCTGTCTGTGTGTATGTGCTTTTGTATGTATGTCTTATGTGTGTCTGTATGCATGTCTGTATGTATGTGTGCCTGCCTGTTTGTATGTATGTGTCTTGTGTGTGTGTCTGTATGTGTGCCTGTCTGTATGTGTGTGCCTGTCTGTATGTATGTGTGTATGTGTCTGTATGTATGTATGTGTGCCTGTCTGTTATAGTGGGCTATAGTAA